TAATTAAAAGTAATTTATTTTCTAGTTTTTAATTAAAAGTAATTTCTGTTCAAAGCAATAACACGATCTTGCTATGCTTCTTTACACCAGTAGATGTCACTGTTGTTCCTTTTCCGGACATGATTGGTTCTCKGTGCATCACGTGATCAAAACACGCCCCAAAACAGGAAGTAGCTTAAACCGCTAACATTAGCTAACAGCACGGGTGAAGGACGGCTTTGGGTCCTATATTATTTTTTATTGTTTGTTACTATTCCTTTAAAATATCGTCCTTCAGACATGCCACAGAAAGACCCGTGTCAAAAACAAGCATGTGCCATTCAACATTGTCTACAAGGTATCGAGTGTTTTTGCAAGTTGTTTAACTGAAGCCACACACGTTTTTTACCTGCTGCTTTCCTCTTTCYTGTAGCAAACAAATACGTGGAGAGCTTGTGTGAGGATGTGATCCGAGAGATGCGGAGGTGCTGTGAGGCTCCTCGAGCCGTGAACTCCATCTGCTGCTCCGGTTTCAGAGAGGCCAAGCAGGCGGAGAACAAGAGCAACACTTAACACATCTTTATTATTGGAAGCAGTGGAAGAAAGCAGCATTGCATCAATGTTGTTGCCCTCCAGTATTTATTTTATAACTTTAAATGAGACTGAATTGTTGGTGTAGATAAATAAAGTGTGCACAGCCTTATAACAAACAATTGTTTACCTTTGTGCACACCTTCCACATTGCACATGGCCATTAAAAAAAAAAAAAACTATCAAGCTTCAGGCGCAGGTGACTCCACCCTTTTACAAAAATCCAATTTAACGTGATCTGCTGCCATTTCGTTCACACCCTCACGAGTCTGTACCTGTCAATAAATGAGTCAAGCTTGTTACAAATGGCTCATGAAGGCTCTCTGCACACTCAGGGGGAAAATATTTAATTTAGACTTCCTGACAGTAGCACGGTCCAGGTGGTGCCTGACCATGTTTAAATTGGAAGCCTGAATTAAAGGCAGAAAACCAAACCAGTTTTCAGACTTGAATATTCATTTTCACACATGTAAATTTACTAAACCACTGCTGGGCCAATCTGCACAGAAATCAGACTATTGTCATTTAAACTATTTACAGAAAATAATAAAAAACAGTAGCTCTGGACTCGATTATTCAATAAAAAGGATGACCTAACAAGGTGTCATAGACTAAATCATCTAACATAATTTAAAGTGGAGTAAAATTTCATTTAAAATTGCATTACATTAATTTAGTACTTACTATAGTGTAATAATAAATAAAAGCTAAAAAATAAAAAAAGCAAACAGTGCATGTGCAGGATGGGAGGAGTCACAAAGGATGCAGGTGGCCCTGTACCTGGTGATGTAAATGTCCCTGAGGAACGGTACTTGAAAGAAGCAACCATTTACACTACAGCACTGTTGATACACAAGTCTACAACATCTCATTGGTCTTTTAGAGATGAAGTTCTCCCTGCACCAGCACATCTACAGCACACACACACACACACACACACACACACAC